CAGGTCTTGCTTGCAGCCACCTTCCTTGCGACATCAGTCAAATTCGCTATGCAACTCAAGAAGATATTAAACGCTTCGTCGGCCGAGGTTTTCTGTACTGCGCTAGCTCATGGAGTGATATCGCTTGCTGCCTTGACTTTCGAGCTAGCTTCTGCGATTAGAAACGCCCCGGACCAGATGAACTGCGCGCCGAGGTGGCTGCAAAGCTTTCTTCAGCGGCTAGAACCCCCTTTAGTGGCCCGGTCAGTTTTTCTCTGCTTACTTGGCGGGTTCATCTACCTTCCTTTGCGTCTCAGGGCCAAGAAACCGGTGTCGATGAAGAAAGGCGATATCAGTCCCCCTCGCAACATCGCTACTATAGACGTTACCACTTGTCTTCTCGAAATCCTGAATGTCTATTTAATCATCCAATCCACCCCGGTAAATATACCGTTGTTTCTCGTCTACAGGCTGCAACTCGAGTCACTTTGTGAGTGTTACAATTCCGCATAAACTAATGACGACGAGAATATGTGCTTATCTTGTCATACGTACAGTGTCATTCCCAGCGACTCTCAGTGCATTTCAGATTTGTGTATCTGTAGTCCTGTTCGGCCAAAGCGCATTTTTTGCCATTGGAAATACCAACTCCATTGCTACGCTTAAATATACAGACGGGTTCAACGGTCTGAACGCCCACCACTGGCTCCTGAGTCCCGTGCATACTTTCTGCAGCAACTACGCCGGTCCGATTTGGTGGAGTTGCAACGGCTTGCGACTACTTGGCACCAGAATGGCCACCGTCAAAGGTAAAGGGAACCATGGCAGTGGCTTTACCGAGCACATGGGGCTCCGGAGTGCCTTTGTGGCTTATGGCCTTCTTTGCGTGATGGTCGCATGCTTCTTGCTTCGGGATGAGACGTTTACTTGGACGGTCATGGCGCCCAAGTTTACGTACACCCTGTTGTGGACAATACCGTTTCATCTCTTGTTTAATATGGGTCTCCCCATTGTAGTGCGCATGGCGGCGTCGTGATTACCTGCAGGTTGTTTGGTAGGAGGGCAACTGGCAGCCCAGTTCACAGTAGTAGCTGGAAATTGCAGATCGTGGTTTGTCATATTCCTCACGAAAAGAGATTATTATACTGCCATGATCTTTTATATCCAGACAACGCCGGCCGTGTTTCACCACGGGAGATCCTTTGTCGCAGGTGACACTGGATGGTCCTGCTCATTCGGCCTTCCCCCAGTGATGGCGGGACGGGAAGCCATTCACGGCTCAGAATGTAACAGTACCTCGACTACGCAAGTCACCTCAAGCTCTGGGGAGCTAGGCGATGGATATCTCCTACTCCTACACGGCCCCCCATCGGTTCCCGAGTGCATGCCACAAACCTCTCCATGAATAAAGCACAAACGTTAGATTCCTAACCATTCTAAGTCACATTTTGCCATTAGGACCGTCCCAGGACGTTTGAAAATAGAAAGACACAAACCAGTCAAGGTTTTTTGGAGTACATGCATGTCAGACAACTCGTAGAAGAACAGCAAAACCACGAAATAAACAGTAGAAGAAAAATCAAAACCCAGTATCCATCAAACTCATGATATCAATACGCACAAACAAAACATCAGATCCAGAACCGCACGCCGTTTGCAAACCCAATCATTATATAGAATATGTTCAACCTTGGCACATCACGCAGGCTTCCTTGTTCTCGATGCTGCATTGGAGAACCTGCTGAGAATAGATGTCATTCTCGCGCTCCTCGCTCGTCTTCTGCTCATCCTCGCTCTGAGAGTCGCCGTTGGCGGCCTCTTCCACACGTAGGCTGGGCTCAACAGGGCCATTGGCCTGTCCGTTGGTCTCGCTGGTGGGGGAGCGAGGAACAGCGGAGTATGTGTTGGATGCAGCACCCACGGCCCGCTTCCGGAAAGAAGCATTGGCCCGAGCGACGTTGGTATCAGCAACCTTGAGGGCCTCCTGGTCCACGGTGAACTGGATGGGAGCCGAAGCGGCCATGGTACGCAGGTAGTACATGCCGGTCTTCAGGCCCATCTTCCAGCCAGCGAAGTGCATGCTGGTGATCTTACCCATAGTCGGCTCCTTGAGGTGGATATTAAGCGACTGGGACTGGTCAATGTAGGCACCACGGTCTGCCGCCATCTGCAAGATCGAACGCTGGGAGATCTCCCACACCGTCTTGTAGAGAGCCTTGATGTCCGCAGGGATGTTAGGGATGTTCTGGACGGAACCACCCTCGGCAATGATACGGTTCTTCATGTTGTCCGACCACAGACCAAGGTCGACCAAGTCCTTGAGAAGCCAAGGGTTGACGACCTGGAACTCACCCGCAAGAACACGGCGGGAGTAGATGTTGGAGGTGTAAGGCTCGAAACACTCGTTGAAACCTAAGATCTGACTGGTGCTTGCGGTCGGCATAGGTGCGACTAGCAAGCTGTTGCGCACGCCAGTCTGCGCGATCTTTGCCTTGAGAGCGTCCCAGTCCCAGAGATCAGTGGGGGTGCGGTCCCACATGTCGTATTGAAGGATTCCCTGGGAGACGGGAGAGCCTTCATACGACTCATACGTTCCAAAGTCCTTGGCCAAGTCAGATGAAGCAGTCAAAGCTCCGTGGTAGATGGTCTCGAAGATTTGAGTGTTCAGCTGCTTCGCCTCAGGCGAGTCGAATGGCAAACGCAGGGCAAGGAAGGCATCAGCCAAACCATTGACACCGAGAGCAATGGGGCGGTGACGCATGTTGCTGTTCTTGGCCTCAGGGACGGGGTAGTAGTTGATATCGATGATCTTGTTCAGGTTACGAACCAGCACCTGCACGACTTCGTGGAGCTTGCCAAAGTCATACTCACCCCGGGCAGCATCAACGAAGGTGGGAAGGGCAAGAGAGGCAAGGTTGCAAACAGCAACCTCATCCGGAGCAGTATATTCAATGATTTCAGTACAGAGGTTGGAGCTGCGGATTGTTCCCAGGTTCTTCTGGTTACTCTTTTTGTTACAGGCATCCTTGTACAGCATGAAAGGATTTCCAGTCTCGGTTTGAGCCTCCAAAATGGCATACCAGAGCTTCTGGGCCTTGATGGTCTTGCGGCCACGGCCCTCCTTTTCGTATCTACTCTCTTGTCAGTACGGGCTTCTGCTTTGGAATTGGAGGGGAGTGTGTCTAACCTTTCATAGAGCGCCTCGAATTCGTCACCATAAACATCGGCCAAGCCAGGGGCCTCGTTAGGACAGAAGAGAGTCCACTCGCCGTTGGCTTCAACTCGCTTCATGAACAAGTCCGGAGTCCAGAGAGCATAGAAGAGATCACGAGCTCTCACTTCCTCCTTACCGTGGTTCTTGCGGAGATCAAGGAATTCGAAAACATCGGCGTGCCAAGGTTCCAAATAGATGGCAAAAGCACCTGGACGCTTGTTTCCTCCCTGGTCAACATATCTGGCAGTGTTGTTGAACACCCGAAGCATAGGAACAATACCATTGGAGGAACCGTTGGTACCACCAATGTAAGAGCCGGTAGCACGAATGCGGTGCACATTCAGGCCAATTCCACCAGCGGTCTTAGAGATCAATGCACAAGTCTTGAGCGTGTCATAAATACCTTCGATGCTATCCTCCTTCATATCGACAAGGAAGCATGAAGCAAGCTGAGGCTGAGGGGTACCGGCATTGAACAAAGTCGGAGAGGCATGGGTGAAATACTTCTGAGACATCAAGTTATAGGTCTCGATAGCCTTCTCAATGTCATTACCGTGAATACCAACAGCGACACGCATCAAAAGGTGCTGAGGGCGTTCAGCAACCTTTCCATCGATCCGCAGCAAGTATGACCGCTCAAGGGTCTTGAAGCCGAAAAAGTTGTAGTTAAAATCACGGTCATACACAATAGCTGAGTTGAGTTCGTCGGCATGTTTCATGATAATCTCGTACGTTTCCTTTGATATCATTGGGGCAGGCTTCTTATTTTTTGGGTTGATATAGTGGTATAGGTCTGAGATAACCAGGGAGAACTGCTTCTTCGTTTGCTTGTGAAGGTTCGAAACAGCTATACGAGCAGCAAGAATGGCGTAGTCTGGATGTGTGGTGGTCATGTATGCCGCAGTCTCAGCAGCCTACACAAACCCATCAGTATATTGCGTCGGTTTATCTGTGGAGCTGCGGAGCCATACCAGGTTGTCAAGTTCAACAGTGGTGACACCCTGATAAACACCAGAAATGACCTTCTGGGTGATAGCAGCAGCGTCAACATGCTCAGGGTCAAGACCATAACATAGCCTCGACACACGAGCAGTAATTTTGTCGAACTGCACGCGTTCTTTGCGTCCGTCTAATAATCACGGTTCGTTAGCAGGTGTCCAAGTCGGTGGCAAGGTTTCGGACGAAACACGACAAAGGTCCCATTTGGTAGCAGAATACAGGTCTAGGTCCGAACTTAGAAAGAACTAAAGGAGATCAATGCATACCTCTCTTGTAGACAAACATTTTGACGTGTAGAGGGGAGAGCTCGGAAGATACGTGAAGATGATAAGAAACAGGGTATAATAGTATTACTGAACGGATGAAGTACTAAGGCTCTGGAATGAAGAAAAAGCAAAGGCAAAGTCGTTTGAAGATGATAAGGGAAGCCCTGAGGACTGAAGTGAAGAGGGGATGAGAATGAGAAAAGAAGTTGGAGGGGCAGAGAGTCCAGCAGATATTTGATGCTGCCGGGACCAACAACGCGTTGACGGTGGATATCAACGCGAATTTTCGTGTTCGGACCAAGTAAATGGGTCTCCCTTACTTAAGCATCGAACCCCGAAGAACCCACCAACTCACGTGATGCTGATGCTTTCGTCACGCCACGCGATTGACGAACCTCCGATCTCGCTAGGGTATGAATCTATGGGTAAACACGCTGCTCTATACTCCTTTCAGCTTTATATCTGACGTCAGGTCTATTGCCTATCAATTAGTTTAGGCGCATCCAGAAGTCTGGACTTAGATCAAGGATCACAGGATAGTTACAAGGTTGATTTCCTTACTATCTACCAGGAAGGAGCATACGGCCTCCTTCTAGTTATTGCAACGCACCCTTACATGACTGAGATTGGTCTCAATATACGATTGGTACAAAGAATAGAACAAGAATGGAATTAAGTCATTCCACCCAGATACCCGATACACACTGCGCAGCTGAGTAGAACGATTCGAAGGTTGATCACCCTTACAGCGTAGCGGCGAAGCCGACGAAGACAACCGCAGCAAAGGCAGCAGCGGGAATATGCCTGTCAGACGAGCCAGCATTGGTATGAAGAGGTACGCCGGCAGAAGAAGTCGCAGAGCCGGAGCCGGAGCCAGAGTTAGAGCCAGAATCAGAGCCGGAGGTAGGGTTAACTCCAGCACTGGAGCCGGAGCCGGAAGTGCTGGTAGCGGTAGCAGTGACAAAGCCGGAGCTGCTTGACTTGGAATCGGCGGTGGAAGTACCGGTGGAAGAGGCAGTCGAGGAGGTTGAGGTGTTGACGACTGGGAGAGCGATGTTAGCGCACTTCAAGTCACGTCCTCGGTACCAGCAGTCTAGCATGTACATACCGATTTTGTGTCCAGCAGAGGAGCAGGTGTCAGCGAACTGCTTCAGAGCGTCCTTCTTGTCATCATCGCTGCACACACTCTCGATTTTAGTCTGCACTTTATCAACACAGACGGCTTTGAAATCACCGGGCTTTGGCTCGTTGCTAATCGAGTTGTCAGAAACCAAGCTATTCCCAAGGTCGCATTTTTTCTGTTTTTAGTATAAGCATACCCGATAACCTCAAGAAGGCAAGCCCTAGGGACTGCAGCGGCGGCAATGTTGCCGAGGGCCAAAAAGGACAAGACAAGAGCAGACTTGGCGAACAACATGATGGACGGACGTTTAGGGGTACGGGTGGTAATTTGGATTGGTGAGTTCGGGGTGCTGTGTAAGAAAAGACTGACGAAAACAAGTTTGATGCTAAAGAACGGACTGGGTGAGAGAAAGGAGTGACAATTTGCGATAAAGAGTGACAGACAAGCGATGGAAAGAATGATAGATGATCTTGAGTTTGGAGCAGCGGAATGGAAATTTAATGGAAGAAGGAGAGAAAGTGAAGAGGGGACCTGTCCCACCCAATCAGGCATCGACCCTGCCGATCCTTTCCTGGCCCTGAGATCATGTCTGGGGTGGTTCTCATTTCCAACCAGTTTCCCTTGCAAATTTTACTGTACGGAACTATCTATTTAAGTGGGCCCTTCTATTGCTTTTGTGGTAAAGTATCGGGACTCAATTGGTGGAGCTTCCCGGCAGTCGTGCCATCCGTTTGTAACACATGTACAGGGCAGTACTCAGTAATCTCAAAACCCCTTCCCTCTGTATTAATTAAAAGCCCAAGTCTAGAACATTAATACCGATCAGGTCTCTTACCAAGTAAGTCGTACCTAAAGATTCGGTGCAAATTCAATGCTGCAAGTAAAACATTAAGAAACCGGTCCTGTAACTGTGTGTCAATTGCAAATACCCTAAAAGACAGCCTGTGGTGAATACATTCTGCACCTTTTAGGTTAAAATGATGGGTTATCAATGCCAAGTCAGGTATCAAGTAACATTGTCTCAGTCCTTTTATTATCCTAAATTTATCCAACAGCTTGCAATAAGCTAAACTAATACATAAGTGGCCAGACTCCCCATGCGTCTAAATATAGTATACCTACTGTTATGTAACGCTCCCTATCCCCGTTCTATGAGGTTTTCTATAAGAAACCAAAACAAAAAGGCACGCTCTACGATGTGTCATGCTGCGATCAACCATCTATTCCTCATACCCGCACCGAAAATCCACCAAGACCTGTCAGTCACCGGTCCCAGTTAGGGTCATAATGACTTGTAATTATCTCCTGGACGGGCAACCTATAGTCCACGATTTCCCGGCCATTCACAAGGTCATTTTCTGTCGCTCGCTTATCTGCCTCGGCTTCATCCTTCGCGATACCCGCCTTGACGTGCCTCCGAACCAACCTCTTTCGAGCTGTTTCGAATTCAACATCCACAAACCAAAGCTCATCCATCAGCTGTGCCGCCTTATTCCATGGCTCTTTATTTAAACTTAGGTAATTCCCCTCGAAGAAAATAACCCTGCAGGTGGCGGGGATGGCAATATCATCGTCGACAGGATCTTTGACTGCATGATCAAAGCTTGGCGCGTACAAGCTTTGGGTCTCCGGCGTCAACTGCTCCCGCAGAGCCTGGACTAGTTTCAAAAACTTCTCCCCGTCAAAGGTGAAAGCTGCACCCCGTCGTGCAGCAGCATACACCGGGTCGGGCATTTGAGCGAGTTGCGCCCGCGTAAGATGATACCCATCCATAGGGATAGCAGTCGCGATAGGCGGTGAATTGAGATGCTGTGCCGCGTAGAGTTGGTTGATGCGGTTTGCCATCATGCTGGCGAGTGCTGTCTTTCCGGATCCCGGTATGCCACTCACTGCTATCATCAACCGGGAATCATCTGGCGTAGATTGGGTTTTACCTTAAGAAAAGCCATTAGTAATCTATCGGTGTATGAAATTTTTTTTTCGTCTTGGAAAGCTCAAGGCTAGACGTGCTTGCGGTGCAATATGCGGCATGCCGAGCGACTTACCCCAGATCTTATCGACTAACCGGTCTACCTGGATATCCATAATTGCCCCTTATATCTATATATCCAGAGTATATTTGGGGGGTAAAGGAGGATGCTAGTAATATAGAAATCAATCCAAATACCCCGGGTCGTGTCTCATGCAGATAAACGTTGCAAAGTACTTCAAAGACGCAAAATAACGAGGAGGCTAAATCATTCAAAACAAATCCAGGGCCTTCAAAGGTATTTTTTGGGATCACTGTGTGAATAATCCAACGCAAAACGTCGATCCTAGTTGACGTGATGGACAAAGAAAAGCACCGTGGTCCATTGAGATAATAGAGGCAGTCGGCGGGGCTTGTCATGGGAGTGGGGTTTTGCGATCTGTACGGAGAAGCATCATAGGTAACTTACGCACATACCGGCCCTACGTCACAGGGGTCGCTTTCCCCATCCCGGAGTCACAAGGTTACAACAGGTACGTGAACAGGTACCACTACCACATCCAGTATCATGTTTATCTCAGGTACAAAACAATACCCTTTGTCAAACTGCCTATAGGCACCCTCTACATCTTAAGACAACCGGTTTACCAGATTCTAGTTCATGCGATCCTCGGCGCTGCCCACTGTTCAATTACTTCTAACTGAAGCTGTACAACCTGGAAATGCAGGTTATGTACCATGTATGCAGAATGTCAAAGACGACAAAAATCCTAGACAAACGTCCATCGTAAGTTGTCCGTAGATATGCTTCCATCTTGACCCCAAGAAACAAAAGGCTGCAAAACTTCAAAAAGAAAAATAAATAAATAAAATAAAATAAAATAAACGTAACCCGAACAGATATAGGGGAATAAACAAATGATCATCCCATTATAAGTGCTTCCAGCCACCGTAGGGCAACCCACAAACCATGTATTTTGAAAGACACCAAGAACGCCAAACGTGATATCCTTCCCGCTTAACCCATTTACATCAACATCACTGTCCCTCACAAAAATGGAAGAGATGAAAGGCTCAATAATTAACACAGAATCAGAAAGAAAGTATATAAGACCTTCACTGCTGCTGTCTGGACGGCCCATCAACTGTATCAGTATTGTTGGTCCCGTCGTTTGCACTAACCCCGTGGCCGATGGTACGAGACAGTCCAGCTGCTGTCCACAAGTCATCAGGGACATCCTCTCGACGGGCAAGCCGGTCCAAGATAGCTTGCATATGTTGAAGGTCCGGGTCTATAGAGTTGGAAATAGCTAATGATACCGCAGGAAGCGGAGGTTGGTTACTCATGGTCGAATTTGCATTACGTGCACGCCTCCTGGCATCCCTCCTGGCGTTAATTTCACGTATTCGGCGATAGTGGTATTGAAACAATGAGTTCTGGGTGGCCTCTGCCTCAGAATCGGAGTCGGAGTCGGTTGAAGTGGAATAGTCACACGGATTGAGGAACTCCGGATAAGGGTCGAGAACCATCTGTACAGTTGCCGCAGTTGAGTCCATAGAGCTTGGCAGTGTTCCGAAAGAAGTTGCCGAGCTTCGTGCCGTCCCGTTCATTGAAGCGTTTGTGCCCGCAGACGCCGATGTGAAAGAAGAGTCTGCGCTAGGAAGATTGGTATCCGGTGTGATGGTAGTTAAGAGCGTTTCCCAAGCATCGTTCGCATTGTCACCATCTGGGCTTATGCTCCGCTGGCGATCTCCAAGGCCGTCGACGACAGTCTGAGAGTTGGAGCGGCTTGGTTGATTAATAGACCGCTGACCAATCCGTCGTAACAGAGGAATAGTCGAACCAATCGAGACATCTCCACCCAAGGCTTCCGACCGAGGAAATGGAGACAAACGGACTTCGGGGGGCGCCTGAGGAGATGAGGTCCTGTGGTACGCAATTGCCGGGGCGAATCGAGGAGTGAAGGAGGGAGGCGGGTTATCTTGTTCCTGTCGAGCACCCCCATAGTCACCAGCTGCTGCGCGCAAGTATATGTCGTCTAACACAGTGTTACGCGGTATCCTCAATCTCTGGCCGGGACGGCTGTGGCGAAGAACATCGTTGAGTAGGCGCTGGCCAGCTTCTCTTGCGCTGGAATCCGACAGGCCATTGGTCAGATCGAATGGATCTTCACCGGAGCCAGAATTCGGGATAGAAGAGCGTACATGGCGCGGGAGCCCATTCGCTTCACGTTCAATCTCGTCCGCTAACGGACGGGGAAACGGCGAGCGCAAAGTCGCGCTGCGCAAAGCGGAGCTACTGTAGCGTGAAGGGCGCCGGATAGTGGTCTGGCGACGAATTGCAGAACGTGCGGCGGCACAAGGGTCTTTGACAGGATTATTCTTTGCAGTCTCGGTGGACGAAGGCTCACGGTACATACTGCAATTACGTTAGTCATGAGGGCTGTACCGTACATGATAAGTACCGCTTAAAGACCCGAATAAGGCCAAGTGCAAAGGATGGGACAAACTTACGGTATACCCATGACTACGAGAGACCCAAGGCTTTTTGTACGAAGACTAGTGTCCAAAATACCTTCTAGAAGAGACACCGCGCCAGAACCACGAGAAGAGTGTCGCGAGATTGAAAGAACGAAGGTGCGACGATTGCGGGGAGGGTGCGACGAAGCGTTGTGTTGATGGAGAAACGGGGAGATTTGGTTTTCCTTGTAAGGGTAAAAAGCGGAGGCAACTGGATTTGCCTTAGGCTGTCTGGCGCGCTTCGAGAGGGAGAGGCAGGAATGTGGCGCCAGTAGTGGCGCCAATACCCATCTGCGTACAATTCAGTACGGCCCGCCTCGGAGTTCGAGGAAGTTTCCCGTTTCCCGGCTTAAAACGCCGCTCTTATCTCAACGGAAATCCGATAGATAGCCGTGCGAGATGATGCCGAGTGATTTTTAAAGAAGAGCCATGCACTTCCCAATTCCTTTCAACTCCTTCCAACTAGCGACCACACTGATGTCGTCCTTCTCAGAGAGGTACTCCTGATCATGAGATTGACCTTGACTAGTTGCCAGAAAACATATAATCGGAGGAATGATCGAGCTCGGTCTTAGTCGCATATCCCGTCTCCTTCAGCAGACGCCTTTGACTTGGAAGGCCATCCACATCGCTGGAACAAATGGCAAAGGCTCGATCAGCGCTTACTTGTCTCACTTGTTGACTTCCGGTGGAGTTCGCTGCGGCCGCTTTACCTCACCTCACTTGATAGACCGTTGGGACTGCATCACCATCGGTGAAAGTGTGGTCCAAGAGTCTTTATTCCGGCAGATTGAAGAAAAGATCAAGTTGCGGGACCAAACATTGGGCATTGGGGCAAGCGAGTTCGAGTTATTAACCGCCACGGCATTCGAGATTTTTAACCATGAACGGGTTGACATTGGTGTGGTTGAAGTGGGCATGGGTGGTCGGTTGGACGCTACGAACATACTGAACAATGTGCTTGTATCGGTCATCGCTAAAATTGGTCTGGATCACCAGTCGCTGCTTGGAGACACCCTGGAGGAGATCACGCGAGAGAAGGCCGGGATCTTGAAGCGGGGAGTTCCGTGCGTAGTCGACGGAACGAACCTACCAGCAGCCCTCTCGACTATCGAAAAGCGTATCAAGGAACTTGACATCGATGCTATTTACACTCGCCCCGATGCGCCGGATGAGCACTCCCCGATGCTTAGTCAGATTTTCCAGCAACTTGATACACTGCCTCACCAGCGGGCGAATATGTGTTGCGCAATCTCAGCTTTAAAGCTGGCCCTCCGGAGAGTCCGTCCAGACCTCAAGGTTGATTCTTTGGTTTCCCAGCTCTCTCGTGTCGAGTGGCCGGGACGTCTACAAGAAATTGTGCTGAGTCCTATGGTTGCCCGCACAGACTCTGTCCTCCTCGATGGCGCTCACAATAGCCAGTCAGCCGAAGTCCTCGGGCAATATGTGGACCGCAAGCTTCGACCGCAAGGGAGTCCTGTCACTTGGGTCATTGCAGCCTCACGTGGAAAAGACATAGCCTCACTGTTTCACCCTATCATCAAGGCTGGTGATAATGTTGCAACTACTGCGTTTGGGCCCGTCGACGGTATGCCTTGGGTCAAAGCAACTGAACCCCAGGAATTAGCCTCCAGTGTACAGTCTATTCCTGCAATCGGTGATGTGAAATCATTTGATGACGACATACTTGCTGCTATCAATTGGGCCTGTAGCAAGGCCAATGGCGGCCCCATGGTTATTGCTGGAAGTCTTTACCTTGTTTCAGACGTTCTCCGTCATCTTCGAGGAGCGCAGAAACAGTCGGAAAACACCGCTGAGTCGTGATAGTTATGGAACTGAAGATACCCCTTCATCGTTAGTAGCGCTTGGACTTCTCTGTACACCATTGGCACAGACTCAAGGGTCTTTTTGGAACTAAAATCAATACCATTCTCTTTCATACATAGACAAAATGTAATACATAAACGGCATGGCTCCTTTCTTATCCTTTGTTCTTTTTTCTTTTCTGTTTCAAGTATTTCTGTAACAACTGTGACAGCAGTCATAAAAATAATAGTAACATGTAAAGAACAGTGCACATTACTCGGGGTCCGATAAGACTGATCGGAGATACAGAGGCGGTCACTGCGTCATGCCCCAAACTGGTGGTGGCCTGAATTGTGGAGAAAGGGAAAGTTCAAAACACCCTTCAATTTGTTGCATTTGGTTCAGCCGACACAGCGGTAAGTTATATTTTCTTTTTTTGTAACTGTCTTGAGACTGTTTGTGCAGTTTCCTATCAAGTAAATTGAAAATTCTGACCTCAAAGAGAGCTGCAGGAATCTGATGTGTGCAGAGACGCGCTTGGTTCAACGCGGCTTAATGGGTGTGAGAGCAGTAAGTTATCTGTACGTTTTTTCCTAAGCTGTGCTCATGCCATGTCTTTTCCGGCATTATTACCTTCCTTCATCTTCGCCATATGCTTTGTTGTTCTATTCTCAGCTCTCACTAATGATGTGTGGCCACGAAAAACAGGTTTTGCTGATATGAACAATACTCCGATCGCCTGGCTCCTGCCTTCAGCCGTCCCGTCCCTCTCCTGAAACCGCAAGGTCCGAGATCATCTGTCGACATCGGTGAATCCAGACTGTATCTGACGAGGGGGTCAACTCATATTAGTCTGGATGATGGTTTCTCGAAGCAGTGGGGGGATTGAGGGGGCCCCTCCATCTTCTAAACCACAGAGTGCGCCCGCCAAAGCACGACTGGCAAAACTCGGCTCCAGCCCATCAAAACGAGATGACAGGCCGAAAGATGATAGAGTGGCGAAAACTACGGCCAAGGATGTCGCAGAACTGAAGGATT